GCCCCCACTTCTTTCTTCTCCTGGTTGAGCTCTGATCATCCAGTCATCCAGTCCCGGTCACGTGGGTGTCATCTGCAAGTGTGGGTGTTCTTGTGCACATGCCCTCTCATCCCATCAGCCGGCAGGCAGCTCCATTCTCCACTTGAGTCCTCTGTGGCCACGTCACTGACTCTGGGCCCAGGAGTCCTCGAGTCTCCCTCCTCACATCTGCCAACCAGGTCCCCAACCGGGTCCACAGAAGCCCTCTGAATATTGTGAGGCCTAGCTCGCTGCTTCTACCCCATTTCTCCCCAATGGTGATGCATGTGTTTACCAATCCGAGCGTGCATTTCCACCCAGTCTCAGTTTTGGAGAGGGGGGGGTCTAGGTTCCCTCTTGAAAGCTTGTATGCCAGTCACTTCTTGCCTTTGTAGTCCTCTACTCCCCATTTGGGTATCCATTGTCCAAGTTGCCCATCTCTGCCCACTCTGTATGTGGAGGGGGTGGGAATGTTTCTTGCTGTAAGGATTTGTTCCTCCTTTTGAGTCACTGCATCCATAGGTATAGGTCAAGTTCATCAGATTGTATCAGCTTACTCTTTTTTTTCTCTTCTTTCTTCTCCTGGTTGAGCTCTGATCATCTAGTCATCTGGTCCAGGTCACGTGGGTACTATCTGCAAGTGTGGGTGTTCTTGTGCCTATGCCCTCTCTTCCCATCAGCCAGTAGCTCCATTTCAATCTCCTTTTGATGCTATGACTATCCCCATTTTTCAGATTAGGAAAACCAAGGCTTAGAGAGGCCCCTCACTGCCCAGAGCCACACAGCTAGCAAGTGGATGAGCTGTTTTTGAACTGCTCTCACTAATGACTGGGCCAACCCTGACTTCACACAGGCATGCATGCTCAGTTCTGCAAAGGTATTTGTTGCCTAGTCAAGACCAAACCTGGTCTCAAAATGCAGCTGAAAATGAGGTGTCTGTTTGCTCTGCGTTGGTGGAACCCGAGCTTGGGGAGAGCAGAGGTCCCAGTTCCTCTGCTGAGCACGCCGCCTTCCCACCTTCCCCAGCGCCTGGTGGGGATTCCAGCCGTCTGGCCCTTTTTGCTGTCTTAACTAAGATGACAGGCTGCAGGTGTTTTTTAAATTAAAATGGTTCATTTCTGTTCATCTCTTTTCCAGATGTCACTACTGAGAGAGAATCTGTCTTTATTTATTGGCTCTTTCCTGTGCAGAATCCGACAGTGTCTCCCTTTGGCCAAGACCCCCCGGGAAGGAGGCCACATGTGGGGAGTGACTTGAACCAGGACGGCAAGAAACTAGGGTCCCCAGGGGGCTCAGGACAAGGGTCATGGTGAAAACCGTGGGAGGTGGGTGTGCAGTTAGGATTTTTCTCCCGGCCACGTGGCACATGTGCTGCTGCTGAGCGGTGTATAGCAGGGTCAGCCTGTTCCCTGCTGGGCTGGGAGGAGGTTAATTTATGAAGGGCAGAAGCAGCACCATGTCAATATCTTTTATGTTGCCAATTGCAACAAAGTAGTGCATTTGTTTTCTTATTAGACAATAGACTGAGGATCGCCTGGCCAAGATTCCAGTCCATTTCTGAATGGCTCTCAGAACTGACCTCTCTCCAACCCCTTTACACCTCCCTCTTCCCCAAATCTTGATCATCTCTCACCTGGGTGGTTGCAACACCCCCTCTCCCCACTCTTCTCCTGCCCATCTCCATCCTTCCTACAGCAGCAGCCACAGAACTCCAGCAAGTGCTCAAATCTCGGGGATGGTTCATTTCATGTGTCAACTTGGCTAGGCTAGTGCCCAGTAGTTTGGTTAAACACTAGTCTAGTTGCTAAGGCACAGAGGCGCTTATCCAATCAGCTGAAGGCCTTAAGAACAAAGACTAAAGATTCTAAGAGAAGAAGAAATTAGACCAATGTCCTGCCAGTTTCCAGCCTACTGCTTGACCTGTGGATTTTGGATTTACTTACCAGCCCTTATAGGTGCATGGTGGCTCCATATGATAAGCACTCGATTGCGAACCACAAGGTCCATGGTTTGAGCCTGCCAGCCACTCCATGAAAAAAAAGATGAGGCTTTCTGCTCCGGTCAAGATTGAAAGTCTCAGGAACCCTATACAGGGTCTCTATGAGTTGAAACAAGCTTGATGGCACTTAACAACAACCATCAGCCCCCACAATTGTGTAGCCAATTCCTTGAACGATATCTCTACCTATTATCTAGGGAGTCCTGGTGTTGTGCTGTGGATTGCAAGGTCGGTTTGAACTACAAGGTCGGTGCTCGATGGCACTTAACAACAACAACCTATATCTATATATTCATATAGATGGGTGGAGGGGTGGATTGATGGATAGACGGATAGAGACATTTATATCCTCTTGGTTCCATTTCTCTGGAGAACACTGATGAATATGCTCCCCCCCCGCCCCCATCCGTCCCTGTTTCCGCAGTGTAAGCTTACACTGTCCTTACAGGATAAAGTCCAACTCCCTGGTCAGCCATGCAGGTATCTTTGCAAGGTTGCCTCCAAGTCCTCCCAGGTCCTCCCTTTGCTCACACTCTGAACTGCCTCGTGTTTCACATCTCCTCACCTGGTACCTTTCTCTAACAGACCCTGTTCAGATGTCAGCTTCTCTGGGAAGCCTTCCCACCCGGCATGCAGAACACCCAGACCTGTCCCTGCTGGAGCATGCGCCACACAGACTGCCACTGTCTAATTATAGATTTGTCAAACTCCTGAGTCACCTGGAGCCTGGAGAAAGTGGGGCCATGCCCTTGGTACATCCCCATGCCCAGCACAGAGCAGGCATTGGATGGCAGGTGGGAATGAATGAAATTGATGCCATCTGCTTAGCAGCTGGAATATTGGTCTTTCTAGTCTAGGTCCTTGTGCTTCTAGGTCCTCGTCCAGGTTCCAGGACCCCTTGGACCATATGCTCCCGAGGCTGTGTTCCCTGATGTCACCTCTTCTCACTCATAACTATTTAGTGCTGAAGTGGAAGACTGAGATGTTTCTGAAATTGATAAGCGATTGGTTCCCTTACAGATATTCCAAGGGATGATTTTGAAAATAATTCCTCAGATCAATTTGTGGTGACATTTCAGCTTCCTATCCCTACCAGTCCACCCTCTAATCATTAGAGCTGGGTTTGAAGGGCCAAGAAATTCACCCAACACACACTGACCTCACTGGCAGAGGCCTGGGGTGCTGGACTAAGGCAGCGGGGCTAAGACATGCATTGGATAAGCCCTGCCTTCAGGAGAATCTAGTTCAGTGGGCAGGCTGTCCACCGTCAGCTGCCTGCTCCCTGGATTCCGTGGGCACAGGCTCAGAGGGTTCCCTGTCTGTCCCTGACAGGTCTGAGCACTGCTTAGACCCTTCTGGGGACTCTGGGGGTCCTGAGAGGTAACTAGCATACAGTGGTGCTCAGGGATCCCCTGCGGATGGGACTGGCCTCTGCTTTGGAGACTATTTATCTGACAAGATGCTTCATCCTGAACTGGTGGCTGGGCAGGTTCAGAGTGGGCATCTAAATGGTCAGTGTGGTACACAGCCTGAATCCAAGCCAGGCTGGCCTGTGCACAAGTAACCTTAGACATACGTTTTCTCCTGTCTGGACCTCAGGTTCCTGGGTGTCTAGTGAGGGTTTCAGGGGGTCCCAGTAGCTGTGGCATCTTGTGGACCACCCGCGTCCCCAGCAAGGCTCTGGCCAGAGCTGAAAGTAGCAGCATGTTACCCCTTGTTCCTGACAGATCTGTGTCAGCCTCTCCAGCTGCTCGTCCTGAATGACCTTGGCCTTCTCGTACTGCTGGATGACCATCTCCATCTCCACCTTCACAGGCAGGACGTACGCTGGAAGAAAGAGAGAGCCCCGTGAAGGACGAGGCAGTGGCAGGTTTGAGCTGAGGAAAGACTTGCCTCAGCCTTAAGTCAGCAGCGGTTTGAGGACCAGACTCAGTTTCCCAAGGATCCTGGGAGAAAATGTCCAGGTACCCTCCAGAAGAAAGCTAGAACCCTAACTCAACTGTGGTGGAGACTGCTAGATGGCCCCCAATGTTTCCTTTCCTCCTTTCCCACCATATGGAACCCTCACTTTTGGTCTGTGCACATGGCTGCTTTGCAATCATGGGTTACCATGATAGCAGGTTCTGGACAACAGGGTTCAAGAAGAGGTGGATGCAGCAGCTGTCAGAAACCCTCCTTCAGAGGCAGCCTGGGTTGACCATGATGTGGACACATGAGCATCCTCATATTCTGCTGGTAAGGATGTAAAATGGGGTAGTCACCTTGCAAAACAGCTTGATGGTTCTTCAAAGTGTGAAACCAAGAGTGACCATTTGAGCCAGCAATTCCACTCCTAATCACCCAATGACAAATGAAAACAAATGTTCACACAAAAACCTGCACGTGAATGCTCATAAAAGCTTTTTTCACGATAGCCAAAAGGTAGAAACAATACAAGTGCCCATAAAGGGATGAAAGGATAAACAAAATGTGGCATATCTTGACAATGGACTATGTGTTGTTGTTGTTAAGTGTCGTTAAGCAACCCAATATAGGGTCTCCAAGAATGTAAATCTTTGTGGGAGTGGAAAGTCTCATCTTTCTCCTACAGAATAGCTTGTGGTCTTGAACCGCTGACCTTGTGGTTTGCAGTATGGTGTTTCTCATATGCAGTCAATGGAATATTACTCTGGAATGAAAAGGTTTGAAGTCCTGATACATGCTGCACTGTGGATAAACCTCGAAAACATGTTAAGTGAAAGAAATCTGTCGCAAAAGACCAGATACAGTATGATTTCATTTCTATGAAATTCCAGAAGAGGCAAATTCGTAAAGGCAGCAAGGAGATTAGTGTTGGCTTAGGGCTTAGGAGTGAAAAAGGGGGACTGGCTGCTAAGGGAAGTGGGAATTTTTTAGGGCGGTGATGAAAATGCTCTAAACAGATAGTGTTCATGGTTACACAGCTCTGACTATATAGAAAAGCACAGAACTAGATCTGTTTTGGAAGAGGTGCAGCCAGAGTGCTCCTTGGAGGCCAAGATGGCTAAGCTTCGTCTCTCATACTTTGGACATATTGTTAGGAGGGAACAGTCGCTGGAGAAGGATGTCATGCTGGGTAAGATGGAGGGTCAGAGAAAAAGAGGAAGACCCCCAACGCGATGGATCAGCCAGGTGGCATCATTGATGGTGTCAAGTGTGGCAGCGGTAGTGAGGTTGGCCCAGGATCGGACATTGTTTCGTTCTGCTGTGCATGGGGTCGCTATGAGTCGGTTCCGACTCGATGGCACCTGACAACAATATAGTTCGGGTGCGGCACTGCAGGATAAGCACTGCACTGCAAGGCCAGCGGTTCAAACTCTCCACCACTCCTTGGAAAACCCTATACAATGTTGTTATGAGGCGGAACCAACTTAACAGCACTTAACATCAACAGTATATTTTAAATAGGTGAATTTTGTGATATATGAACTATATAGTTCCATTAGGGTGTTTTAAAGAGACTTGAGGCCTTCCCTTTGCTTTATCTTTCTCCTCCCTTCTTCCTTTTGCTGGCTGAAATGAGATGTGAGGGCTGGCACTCCAGCAACTATCTTGGATCATAAGGTGACTTTGAAAAGTAGACTACGTATAACTTGTTAATTGGCTGTTGAATCAGTTCTGACCCATAGTGACCTTGTATAGGGTTTCCGAGGAGCAGCTGGTGAGTTTGAACCACCGACCTTAAGGTTCAAACCAACCTTGCAGTCCAGTGCTTATCCTACAGCGCCACACCAGGATTTCCTATGTATTCCTGGGTTCTTGACTACAGTGAGTACTATACAAGGAGCTCTGGTAGCGTAGTGGTTACAAATTGGACTGCGAACCTTAAGGCCAGCAGTTTGAAACCACCAGGCGCTCCACGGAAGAAAGATGAGGTGTTCTGATCCCGTAAAGATTTACAGCCTCGGAAACCCTGTACAGGGTCGCTATGGGTCGGAACCGACTCGACGGCACTTAACAACAACAACAACATACTAACCCCAGACTGCCTACTTGCAGACTTTCATGAAAGAAATAAACTTCTGTTTATTGAAGTTATTGTCATTCTGGGGCTCTGTGACTCACAGACGATCCTAATACACACACTGAGACCCAGGGGAGAAAGCCTGGACTTTGTGGGTCCAAGGACCCCACATTCTCCAGGCCAGTGGTACCCAAATGGGCCCGAACCTTGAGTAGTTCTCTGAACTTTTTTGAAGTCTTACTGTTAAATCCTGACCTTAACCTGACTTCTACCCTTCACACTCTTTTCATGGCTCTCAGAACCCAGCCCTTTCTGAACTTCTCGGAAACCGTGGTCACATGCTTCTCTTGATATTGCCTTCTCGAGACTTCCTTGTCCTCTGCTCTCCAAGTCCCCTTTCCACCCATAGCCTTCCAACATCCAGATGTTCTCTGGCTGCTGCTGTAGGGGTCATGCAGAGAAGAGAGATGAGGATTTTTCTGTTTGCTTCCAGACTTGAAGACAGTCCCTGTGTCCAGGAGCAGACCCAGGCTCTGAAGGCTGCCCCGAACTGCTATTGCCTCCTCAGATCTCTGCTGAAGCCAGTTCACACCCATGGTGAGAGTAGCAAATTAACGCGCCCACATGTTCATCCAGCACATCTCTATCATGAGGTTCCTAACAGTACAGCAATGCTGATGTGTCTGGAAAGCAGGGAACAGCTGGGAAGAGCATTCACAATGGGAGCTGTCAAGATCCATTTGTCTGAGGACATCCAGCTGTGCACAACTGGATGTGAAGAGCCAGAAGATGCTGTTCTTGTCCCGAGGGGAGCAGATGTTCTCATGGATACAGAGCCAAAAACAGGGCCCTAAACAGTGAGGGGCAGGGGAGCAGACCAGCTATAGGAGCACTGAGAATAAAGGGGGTGTTTGCTCTGTGACCCTTATTCCTCCTGGCCTTTCAGATGAGGGCGATGACCAGGATGATCTCACAGAGCCTCCTCCAGCGTGGGCATTCCAATATTTGATATGGACTCCCGGTTAGGGGATCCCTGGTGAGATGCCTCGGGTGGAACACGGGACCAGACTCCACAGCGTTCCCATGGGAGAGGGCCCAGCTCAGAAGGAAAGACTCTGGAACCCATCCTTCTTGCCTCCTGCCCATCTGATCATTGCTCTTGGTGGTCTTCTGACAGCCCAAATGTCTACTATTTGTGATCAAAATTCAAGACTGAGAGAAACTATTCAAAAAAGGAGAATGAGACTGGCTGGACAACTTGGTGTATGTTTTGATGTTAAAAAAATTTTTTTTAAAATTCAGAGCTAGAATAAATCCTTTGAAGTCTGTCCTATTAGTTTTAAAAGTACATCCCAGAAGGTCAAGAGGTTCTGTAGAGGTGCCTGGGAAAGCCAGAGGAAAGGCAAGGAGGTGGAGGTCTGGCCCCTTCCACTCCACTCCAACCAATGAAGCTCTACTTTCAGTCTGTTCTACACACTGGGCATCTGCTTAAGGTTTTATGGAAGAAAGAAGGGTTTTGTTGCCAAATAGAAAAGGCTAAGTTTGGGAGTCATCCGTCTATATAAGCTCTCTGTCAGGCCCTGTCCCTCTATGCAAGTACTTGGTCTTTGGCCACTCTCTCTTCAGAAGGAGCGCTCATTTCTGGAGAGGTGGCCCGGCCCTTCTGTGGTAACTGTGCCTAGTCCTCCTGCAGCTGAGAGGAGGTGGGCCTCCCTGCCATGGTCTCAGGGTCCAAGGACTACCCTGTGGAGCCCAACGACTTTGTTCTTCCTCCTCTCAAGAGATGACTTCAGGAACCTGTGGGGAACGGATGTATCTCCTCCTCATGGCCTCATCCTCTAGGCCACACCATCCCTGGACCCATCCCCTCTTCAGGGATGGCTTTTACAGTCCACTCCCCTCCAGGCTCCTTCCCCTGGGGGACCCACTTGGGTCTGTCACCACTTTCTGGAATTCTGTGAACATCCCAGGTCGAGACATAGCTCTCCAGGAGCCAATTGCTCAGTGACAAGGGCTGGCCTCTGATGGTAACCAAGTCAATGATAAAGCAAAGAGGAGATGAGATTTTGGGGGTGATGAGCCAGGGTTAGGAACAGATGTCACAAAAGATACTTGAAGTATTGCCTGAACTCCCCCCCAAACCAGCAGCTCCCACAGAAACACCCTCCCATTGTTTGCAGGTGGGAGACCTGGCTGTGTCTGGTAAACATAAAGGTAGGATACATCCTGTAGTGGACAGGGCCTTGACCAGACAACCTGGACAAAGCAAGTGGTGAGTCTGCAGTCCAGCAGAGGTGGAGGTGGGAAGGATGTCTGTGCCTGGTGTGTATGAAGACCCCCCTGTGAGGTAAAAAGTTGATCTTTCCAGAACTGCAGCCCAGCCATAAACTCTCAATGGGAAGAGCAGGCTGCCCAGGCACACAATAAATTGTTGTGTGGGCATGAAGGGGTTATCTGCAAGTGGGCAGTGGGGAGTCTCAGTGGCAGCATGTGATGTCTGAGCACTGTGTGAGTGGCTCAGTCCACAGCCCCACCCTGGGTGCTGGGGGGTGAATGCCTATCTCACACAGCCTCTCCCCTCTCTTAGCTGGGAGCTTGGAACAGCTGCTTGCATTCTGCAACCCCTGCTGACCCCTAACAGGTTACTCACCATCAATGACTCTCTTCACCCGCCAGATCCGAAGCATGATGATGAGGCTGATGGCGTCCCAGGGGCTCCTGGGCCCATTGGCCACAGTGGACGCCACCATCGGGGCCAAGGATAGGATGATCACAGCCCCGTCAAACACCTATGGGAGAGGAGGTGGGCTTCAGTGTTTGGGCTGTGACACTGTGGGCTTGGTGGGCCATCCTGGGTGTGCCGGGACCAGAGTCCATTCCAAGCAAAGCAGCCGCAGCCAGAAGGCCATGCCCATCGCCGTCTGCCTCTGCCGGCACACCCTCCTCAGTCTTTAGGTCTCCCCTTCCTAGAAGTGCTCATGGGCACCGTCTTTCTTCCAAGAGGCCTCAGTCTGTCTCCAGCCCTTTGTTCAGACACCTTGGGCTGTCGCATTACCAGTGTCTTGACCCTTTTTGGGATGGGGCCTACATCCCGTGTCCCAAGTCTTTGGGCAGGGACTGGGGGAGTGGTTGAAGGCAGGGCAAGGGGTGTCTTCTTCCCCTTGAGTAACAGGAGTCCACACCTGTATCTCATCTCTCTCTAGTGCCAGGGAGGCGTTAGAAGAAGAGGGGGCCCCAGACAGCCACGAAACCTAGGTCCTGACCTTCTTCTGGCCTTGATCTGAGCCTTTCTGGGGCCTTGATCTGAGCCTTTCTGGCCTTGATCTGAGCCTTTCTGCGTCCCTGCCTGTTCTGAAAGACTTAAGAATAGATGGGGTTGTATGGAATGAGCAGACAGCAGGGCTGACCGGCTTGCCTTGTCTTCTGTGCACACAACTCCCAGAGGCAGCAAGACCTCCCCATCATGTCATCAGAGATGCTTCTTAATAGAACTTCTCAAGCGACCCACCCCACCCTATTGGCTCTGCAAAAATCCAGGCTGAAAGGCACTTTTATAGTTTCCTGCTCAGCTATCTGACCATTGGGCCATTTTAGAGTGGGTTTATTTGTTTTAAAACACATTTCAAAAGCTTTTCAAATTGATTCTTTCAACATGCTTCAGAACTTCAAGGAGAATTTTTTAGACATTCTTTTGTTGAAAACTCTCAATTTGCTTCTCACTATCCCCAGCTTCCATCCCTGTCATATTCAACAAACATGGCCAAAGAGGCTCCTACAGCTAAGTGCACAAGTAGAGGGCCTTTTCTGATGGCTTCCACCCCAGGATGAATGAGACAGTGAAATTCTATAGCTTCCAGGATGGTTGGGGTGGCCATTGGTCTTTACCTCTATTTTGTTTTCAATGTAATCCCAGATTCCAAGGACCACAATCCGTAGAACAGTCTGAAGAAAGAAAGAAAATACGTTATAATTATTGCTCGCCAGCACTCTCCACCCGACCCCACTGCCGACACCACCAGTGGAAAAGATTCTGGAACTCTCTTTCCTTGCTCAAAAATAGGAAGATGTCTACCCTATCCCCTATGCATTTCTCACGCCACGTATGCGCTCAGCCCCACTGCACATTTCCTGCTCCAGTCTGCACGGAGACAGGGCCTCTTGCTGGTCCTTCTCCCCATGCAAGCTCAGCCCCTGCCACCCATCTGTACACAGCCAGAACTGTCTTCTAGAGCACACGCCTGGCTGTGCCACCTCCTTGCCCAAAACCATTCAGTGCTCACAGTGCATGCAGAATACACTCCAAATCCCTTGGGATGACATTCAGGACCCTGCCAAGTGTGGTTAGTGGTATATGAGCACAGGCACTGCATACAACTTCTGGATTTGCTCGTAAAGGATTTAGCTTCTTCCCCTTCATTATGTCTTCTCAAAGACTAGAACATGGCTAAGTGTAGTGGTCGAGTCATCTTCAGCTAAAATGAGCCATTTTCAACGGAAGTGGATGCTGAGTCCTTGCTAGCCCCAAGCTACCACACCATCCTTAACTGTCTACACAGCCTGTTCTTTCATGAGAGAGCAATGAATTGTATGTTTTGTTGTTGTTATAGAAGCTTGTCATGTGCCCTAACTAGCAAGACCCTTTCTCTGTCTAGCAAAGGCGTTCTTGTGGCCTCTGCTCAAATGTCACCTGAGATCCTATTCCATGCACCCAGGCTCCGCTGTACCTGTCTATTTCTCTAGTGCTGTTACACAGAATTACTCCGGTGGATGGCTTTCACAAACAGATATTCTCTCAGTCTGGAGGCTAGGAGTCTGAATTTAGGATGCCAGCTCTAGGGGAGGGTTTTCTCTCTCTGTTGGCTCTGAGGGAGAGTTCTTATCTCCCTTTGACATCTGTGGGTCCACATTCCTTGCAGATGTACATGTGCCTTGGCATTCATCTTCCCCTGGGTCTAGGAGCTTCCCAGCACAAAGGCTCTGGGCCCAAAGGCCCCACTCCACTGCCAACTCTTCCTTCTTGGTGGTAGTAGGTCCTTCTGATCTCTGCTTGCTTTTTAAATCTCTTTTATATCTCAAAAGAGACTGACTCAAGATCCAACCTAATCCTGAAGAGTCCTCTAATCCTGCCTCATTAACATACTGCTGTGATGTGCTGACTCATAGCAACTCTGCAGAGGGTTTCCAAGGAGCAGCTGGTGGTTTAAACCACTGACCTTGTGGTTCACAGTCCAGTTCTTACTCTACAGCACCACACCAGGACCCCCATTAACATCATTGTTGTTGTTGTTAAAATACCTTTGAGTCGGTTCCAACTCATAATGACCCTGTATAGGGTTTCCAAGGAGTGGCTGGTGAGCTTGAACTGCTGACCTTGTGGTTCAAACCAACATTGCAGTCCAGCTGAATGAACCCACAGCACCACACCAGGACCCATTAACATCACAGAGGTGATAATTACATCAGATCACAAAGTGAAGGATAATCACACCACACTAGAATCATGGCCTAGTCAATTGCACACATATTTTTGGGGAACGTAATTAAAGGCATAACTGTCTCTGTCTTCAGAGTTCTTATAAATATGGTAATTACCTGTCCAACCCCCCCAATTAAGACTCAAGAAATACTAATTAATGTCTCTCTTTTACCACTAATCCCTGGCATGGAGTAGGACACTGAGTGATTCTGCATTATGAATGAGCAGAGGCATGAATGAATGAAGATTTCCTGAAAATCTGTAGTAACTCCTTCCAAATGCTGTACCTTCAGGACCAGCTTCCTCACCAAGAGCACATCTGTCTCCAACAAGAGATGCCTGAATGTTGGTTTCAGGTGGCCTTGGTATTATTTGTCTGTAGGCCCTTCCTTGGCCAAGAGGATTTTAATTTATAGTGACTCACAGTAGATGGAAGTCCTGATGTGGTGCAGTGGGTTAATGAGCTAGACCACAAGATCAGTTTGAACTGCAAGGTTGGCAGTTCCAGCTCACCAGCTGCTCTTTGAAAATCTTATACAAGGTTGCTATGAGTCAGAACCAACTCGATGGCACATAACAATAACACAACAGATGGTGCCCATTCTCCCACATACATGCCGATAGTACAAGGCTAGTTGTCTGAACTCACGAAGCTGTGGAAAGCCTATAGGTCTAAACTCATACTTGTTATACCACAAAAAGGCTTGGCCACTCATTTCCAATTCTTCCTCAGAAGGATTGGCCTGGTGTCCAATAAAGGAGAAGGAAGAGTGCTGATGGCAACCCGTTGCATCATCATCTTTGGATACAGAGAGTGACATGTGGCCGTTCCATGTCCATATGGCTTTCCATTCTGGGGGACTCACACTTAACTGCAAGGGGTATATAGAAGTCTGGGTTGGAGGCTAAAGTATCTTGACATCATGGCTCTGTGAAGGGTTGGTTATGTGACCTTGGCAAGTCAAGTCACCTCTCTGAGCTTCAGTTTCCCTTTCTGCCAGAGAGGTGGGCTAGATGATTTCATAGGATCCTTCTAATCCTAAAAGTCTATGAATCTTAAAATTAAGAGACTAGCACCTGCCGTCTAATCCAGTATACCCAAACTCCTGGTGTGTCGCTGTAGGATCAGCACTTGATTGTGAACCACAAAGTCAGCAGTTCAAATCCACCAGCTTCTCCTTGGAAACCTCATAAGGGTCACTGTGAGTTGGAACTGACTCGACAGCACTAAACAACATCTAGCATATGCCATGAAGTTCTTGCTCTCCTCACATGTGACTCTCATTTTACAGATTGGGAAACTGTGCTCAGAGAGGGTAAGCAACTTGCCCCAAGGTCACTCAGCATTCAGTGATTATGTCAGGATTTGGACCTAGGGGTTGTTGACTCTACAGACTGTACTCAAGCCTTGTTAAAAAAAAAAAAAAAAGAAAAGAAAGCATTCATTGTTGTCCTGGTTGCTTTTGTACTTGCTTGGACCCTCTAATTGTACTGAGCCCAAAACTTAGTACTTGCCTCTCTGAAGTACCACATTAAGAACATCTACTTGGAATTTGACTGTGGGGGTTCCAGAGCAAAGAATCCAGGTTAGGATAGAGAGACCTGGTCCAAATGTGAATCCTTCTGCTTCTTTAAAAATAAGGCTGATGCCTGAGATGGAGACAGAGATGATGGCGAGATGGAGCAGCTGGGGACTTTAGACACAGACAGGTTGTGTGCTGACGACCGGGGGGAAGGCTTGTAGGGTATACCCTTTGATTGGTTGATGGTACATGGAGGGTCTTGTAACTATGGCAATGAAATGATATATGATAGGATGAATGTAAAACTAATGTTCTCCCATGTAAACTATCACATAATTCACAATAAAACATTTAAAAAATTTTTTAATAAAGTAAGGCTGTTCTTAGTGGAAACGGCAGTGGCCCCAGGAGTGCATGGTAGGGAGAAGAAGAAGGAAGCTGGCCAGGTATGAAACTGCAGCCAGCATCAGCATGCCTGGACTAGGGTGTGGGGTGTGTGTATGTGCAGATTGTACGTGATATCTGGGAGGCAGATAGGGTAGGTGGAACACTGGCCAGCTGGCCTGCCCACTCACCAGCCACCTGCATGTAGTCCATGCTCGGAGGTCTGGCTCAGGACCACCTCCTTCTCTGGGACACATTCTTTCCTAGCCCTCAGGTTGGAAGGCACTCAAAATACAATTGGGGAAGAGCTGCTTCCTCAAAGTAGAGCTGGTTGTGATGATGTGAATGAAGTAAAGTTTTTGGGACCTTCATTTGCTGATGGGGCATGATTCAAAATGAGGAGAAACAGCTATAACATCTATTAATAATCAGAACATGGTCAGAACATGGAATGTACAAAGTATGAATCTAGGAAATTTGAAATATGTCAAAAATAAAATGGAACGCATAAAGATCGATATCCTAGGCATTCGTGAGCTGAAATGGACTAGTATTGGCCATTTAGAATATGATAATCCCATGGTATACTATGCCGGGAATGACAAATTGAAGAGGAATGGCATTGCATTCATCATCAAAAAGAATTTATCAAGATTTGTCTTAAAGTACAATGCTGTCTGTGATAGGATAATATCCATGCACCTACAGGGAAGACCAGTTAATACCACTATTATTCAAATTTACACACCAACCACTAAAGTCAGTGAGGATGAAATTGAAGAATTCTACCAACTTCTTCAGTCTGAAACTGATCAAACATGCAATCAAGATGTATTGATCATTACACTTTGATTGGAATGCAAAGGTTGGAAACGAAGAAGGATAAGTCGTTGGAAAATATGGCCTTTGTGATAGAAATGATGCTGGAGATTGCATAATAGAAATTTGCAAGACCAATGACTTTTTCATTGCAAATATCTTTTTTAAACAACATAAAAGACAGCGATACACATGGACCTCACCAGATGGAAGACATAGAAATCAAATTGGCTCCATCTGTGGAAAGAGACAGAAGAAAAGCCGTATCATCAGTCAAGGCCAGGGGCAGACTGGGGAAGTCCATTAATTGCTCACATGCAAGTTCAGGCTGAAGCTGAAGAAAATTAAAACAAGTCCACAAGAGCCAAAACAAGACCTTGAACATATCCCACCTGAATCTAGAGATCATCTCAAGAACAGATTTGATGCATTAGATCAAAAACCAGAAGAGGTGTGGGATGACATCAAGAACATCATATAGGAAGAAAGCAAAAGGTCATTAAGAAGACAAGGAAGAAATAAATCACTAAAATGGATGTCAGGAGAGACTTTTAAACTTGCTCTCCAGCACAGAGATGCTAAAGCAAATGGAAGAAATGAGGAGGTAAAAGAGTTAAACAGAAAATTTCTAAGGGCAGCTCAAGAAGATAAAATCAAATACTGTAATGAACAGTGCAAAGATCTTGAGTTAGAAAACCAAAAGGAAAGAACATGTTTAGCATTTCTCAAGCGGAAAGAAC